CGTCATTTTTTTCTGTAGCAACAGTTGTCTTTCTTTATTGCACCTGAGAGGGGAAGTCCCAAGCTTCATTCCAATATTACTATAGAGGTCGCTAATCGTGTGCATTAATATAATACCGCGCAATAAAAAGGGGACCGATTTTGGGGCAGTTTCGGGTACAACAGTGAGAAATAGGCCGGGCAGTTTCGGGTGCAATGGGGACTAAAGGGTTAATAGCTGATCGTCAATGCCATGCATGAAACATGAGTACAGGTTTGGCATCATGAGGTGATACAGTCAATCTAAACGCACATTTTCTGTGAAAAATCACATAGTATCATTTTGTTTCAATTTTTTGTGGAATGACGTCATGCACAGTCTCTTCCGTTCATGTCTGCATCTTAATATAATGCATTCTGTCTGCGTTACAAACGACTAGATGGAAACCAGGCTTTAAGTGTATAATGGAGCCACACTGTTTCGGCAACATGTCAAGCATGTGGCAGGGAAAGCGGGTGAATGTGTATACATGTAGTCATGCTCCCTCTGGCAGATTCGTTGCAGTGAAAGGAATCAGCATGTAATACAACTGCTGCAGCAAGGATAGCGGTCCCTCAGACCCGAATTAGATTTCGGCCTTTTGAGTACTGGTAACACACTGTATCCTCTGAAAGGCATGTCCGAACAGGCCATGCATGTACTGTGTGTGTGCGTTAACCTTACATACCTAGAGTGGATGATGCAGCAAAGGAAGACATTTTGTGGGAAAGCTCAGTGTTTGTTCCATGACAAATACAACGTTCATCTTGGTTTTGTTTTCTTCTCTCCTCCTTGTTCTTCTGCCAGAATCCCATTTTTTTGTACAGGGCTTTTCTATGAACATGACATTAGCCCCTTTTGCAAAGTCGTATCTTAAACAAAGTTGTCTCAAGCAAAGACCCTGCAGCATGGATGATTCTTGAAGCATGATGTTGTGATGATGTCATCACCTGATTCATTATTGAATTTTGAATATTTCATTTTTGCCCATAGGTTTTGTTCACCTTTTTTTCTAAAGCCAGACTTCAGGATTTGTATCGATCTGACTGACTATATATTAGGTGCAAAGTCTTAGTCCACCAGCGAGAAAATGTCTAAGAACAAAATCATTATAATGACATCATGAGGTGTCATGTTACATGGCATTAAATTGGCAGACTTCAAAGCCTTATATCTCATGAAGTACAGGTTCAGGGGTTGAAAAAGAAAAGAAGAACGTGAAAAAAAAGATATGTATACATATTACCTGAATTGGCAGCATGGTGGATCCGGTTATATTTTTGCATGCTGTGTGTACCTAGCTATGCAACATAAGAATGATCCAAATTGTAGTTTTGCCATGTGTACACACCACGCGCTGTGCTAACGGGTGTTTATGAAACAAGTTGATTAGGCTTATGACATTTGTTTCACTGGTCTCAACCATTTTGAAAGCAGCGTTCGAAACCACATATTCCAGATGAGACCTAACTGGAACCAGTAAAACAAAAGTCTAAGCCTAACCAACTCGTTTTGTAAAAGCCCCTAGTCTTGACTGCAAGAAGTTATCTGGTATATGTATTAACATGTAAATGTAGGCCCCCTAACAAGGATTGCTCAATGCGGCTGCATGTGCAAATTTAGCGGCTGATCGAAAGTCATTGCTCATCATGGGCTCAACCAATTTTAAATTGGATTTGATCCTCTCGCAACCGTATCAACACCCTGAAAAGGACACAGAAGAAGTCACGGACGGGGAAGAAGACAGCAATTTCTTATTTGACATCTGCTTACATGTATCACAATAACTGTGGACATTTGCAGCCACAGTTTACAGAAATTTGTAGGATTCTCGCAGGACCACCAAACTTTCAGCAGGACCAGATGAAATTTTGAAGTACTGATCATGCTGGCCACCTGGAAAAATACATTAATGTCAACCCATGATGTTCCATCATGTTGAAACAAAGCAAATACATGTAGCTTGAAAGGGAAGTGTTACACACGAAAACTGACCTTGTGTGATGATGACATCATTAGATACATGTATGCAACAGTTAAAGGCAGGTTCCTCAAAATATGGACCATTAGATAATGTTCAATTTTGGGGGTTCATTTTTCCTGAAGTGAACAGCAGTGAATTAATTTCCAATGTTTGATGTAATGAGGGACATCATGGCTGATATCTGGAACAATAATGACCGTGTCAAACTTTCAACTTAATTGGAGTTAATCAATTAAAGTCTTGATTGTTAAAATTTTGTGGGACATGAACTCCCTGTTAAAATCCGAGCCAATAGAATTTACTGAGACTTTACACATATTAAAACCATAATCACGAAATTAAAAGTACCTCTCACAATTAATTGGGTCCCGAAGTCAGCACTCACGAATGTCATTCGATTCTGTCATTAGTGTCAAAAAAATTGACTGCAAAAAAAGCAAGTAAAATCCATATATTGATGTACAACACAAGCTTTAAAAAAGAGTGCAAAACAGCACCGCCAAACCATCATCCTTTTACGACTGGACCAATCACATTTTCTTCAAGCATGTTCCCGAAAACCGCAGTCCAAATTACCAATCATGGCAATTTTGTGGTTTTCATCAATCTCTTACGGTGACATTAGAGAAACATTTCGCTGGATCGTGGCCTGTTTGACCTTTGACATCAACCCAGATAGTGCACCCTCTTTTTTATTCGATATTCATGAGCCCCTCCACGGGATGGCGATGCTCTGCAATTTTTCTCTTCAGAACAATTTTTATCAAAAGAAAATCCGTCATTCTGAGTGACGTTCGCAAAAAAATGACGTTCGAGACATAAAATACAATTCATGATGAAAATCTAATGCTCAGAGTTGCTCATTTTAATTTTATTTTCAACGGAGTTATCTCCAAAATAACAGGTAAATGAAAATTGCAATTCCAATATGATTTTACATATACCCAAGGGGGTTAGGGATATCTTCCGCAGTACATGTGCATGTCCCATTGGATTAAAACTTTGCAGACAGCTAGAAAAGGAAGTGATATAACGAAAATTGACCTGATGTGATAATGATGTCATCAGCTTTAAAATCATGTGACATCAATGTTACCTATTGAATCTCTGTCTGCCATCTTATACATGTAGGTTGGAGGACTGTGCAAACATGGCAATAACATTTTTAGTTCAAAGCTTTGAAATGTAAAAAAGCCCTATGCTCTGTTGCAAACAGCCATAGAAAATTGTCTCATTGGCTTTTTTTGCAACTTTGCAAAATAGGCATTCCTTTTGTTTGGGTTTTCGCTTTTTCACAATTTTGCAAAATGAAATGTAATGAGATCAAGAGATGACAAATAACGTGACATTACAGGTGCACTCTACAAAGCACTACATCTCATGAAGTACATGTCTGATTGGGTTCAAACCTTGCATATACATGTACATGTATCTTCAACAGGGAGCACTTTAGTCGAATATTGACCTGATGTGATGATGTTTTCAAGTGGTATGTCACATGACATTAAAGTGCACTCTTCAAAGCACTATCTGGCTCGACTAGAAATACCCCCTCAACAGTTGAACAGAGCCAAGTGGTCCACAGTACTCAATCAATCGTCATCTTGTTTGGTTGCAACACACTGCGCGCGACATGCTAGCACGCATCCATGCCCAAAGATCCTATAGCATCGGTTTCGTGGTGCTATACGATCTGGGTGCATGCCAGCCTTGCCTTGTACATGCTGAAGTACACGTACTAAGTTTGAGCTCTTTAAAAATTTTAGTGTCCATGCATGCATTCTCAGGCTTTGGGCTATCTAGCCACAGTCTTTCATTCAGCTTTGAAGAAGACGAGAGAATGGCTAACTCATCATCACCATGAACGAAGCAAAAATGCACCATGAGTGGGTGTTCTCACAAAAACTAGTACATTTTTCCCATTTCCCTTTGCAATTGCAACTATGGATCACCGTGTCAGGAAGGTTGGGTCATGGCAGGTTAGTAGCAGCCTAGGCTTTAGTATTATTATTTAAGCGGGAAGAGTTCCATGTAGGCCTAGCCTACCCGAGAACTGTGGGGTCTGGAGTCTGCCCTGCTTCCACGTTCAAAGTGGGATGTACATCGGACCTAAATTTTTTTAAGGTACAGTAGGCCTACGCCTAAGTTCTGTGATATACCGTAGGCCTACAGTGAATAGTAATTCTTCCCCTCACTTCAGTAATCTAAAAGCAACAACATGTGACCTCATAAAAATGGTGTTTTATACAGTTGCTAGAACTTACATTTGGAACTAAAATTTAATGATGTTATGTCTTTCACTTGAAAAAAAATAATGAAATTTTGAGGGTCAGCAGTGATGTTGGGACATACATGTACATGTAAGTTTAGGGACAGTTTCCAAGTTCTGATGGATGCCACTACTTAAGATTGCATGATTTGTGCGTGATTGGTCAATCAACTTTTAATTATCAAATTGTTGGCATTTTCAATGCAACTAAAAACTCAGTCGACATTAGGCATAATTTTAGAAAGCATGTCAGAAATGATGACCAAATCATCATTTCTCACATGCTTTCTAAAATTATTCCTTAATTTGGTTTTTAATCTATGAAATAAATGTGCAGGCATGACAGCTCCCCATGGAAACCAGGTAAATCCTAAAGAATGTGTGCTTGCTATTTTGAGGACAGAAAGAAGTGTAACAAACCCACCCTTAACACAGGAGGTGACTACAGTAAGCAAATCAACAAATGTGACCCACCATCCCAAACCCAGGCTGAAGTAGGTAACTTCATTTCCCTGAGAAGGTGGAAATTCCACTGTTCATGTCTTCATGGAAGTTTCACAGCTATCACTATCCGTATAAACCTTACATGTACTGCAGACGGAATTTAAACCTGACATGGATCACTTTGAAGTGTGGGAAAAAAGTTGAAATAGAGGAATTGTCGAACATCCCAGTTACTAACTTCAGCCTGGTTTGGGATGGTGGGTCACCAATATAAGATGAAGGTACCTGTACAGACTCCAGTACGGTATCTGCTGATCTTTTGAAACTACATCTCAGGCCAGCTGATCCCAGAGCAGCAAACTGAGAAAGTGCATGTGCGCAGACAGATTTAAGCCAATTTTCCTGAACAGGATACATGCCCCTGCACTGGCCCAGGAGCTCATGCATGTACTGCTGTCCACACTATGAATTGTTACATGTACATGACTGGCATTGAGGCTAGCACCTAGACATCTTTCTACAAAGAACCTTGCACTGGACACACAGAGACAAAAGACCAGTGCGTAGGACCAGATGCCATGCCAGGAATCCTCAAGTACACATGTGGATTTCATATAGGTGGGTTGGCACAGATGCAGCTAAAGACAAAATCCATGACCTGACAAGGGTGCAGCTGAGTGTGTTTCTCCTTCTCTCACTGCCTCCAACAAAGTCAAGGGGTACAAGTCTAGAGAACTGTCTGCTGTTGTTTTTTATGCAATGTGTTTTTCAATCAGCCTTGTAAGACATTATTTTCAATGGAGATGTTTTTCTGTCTAAAATTCACAGTTATTGCATCAAAAATGCAACCCTAATTTCTGGATTATCCATATATTTTTCAGTTCAAAAAGTTGTGTTGCATAGAAAGTAAGCATTACAATCATAATATACATGTATGAATGCATTATCACTTACATCTATGTAGTCTCTGCAGCTTTTACAAAGGCCTTGAAAAGTACTTGACATTGATGCTGTCTCTTAAGGAGAACCCACTGTTCAACAATTCAGGGAGAAAATATTCAAAATAGAAATTCCGTACCTTAGAAACTGACATCTGGATGAAAGTGGGAGTGAATGGCACAATTACAGTGACCAATTGTTTGAGAGACCACACAAACAGAATGCATGCTTTACCCCGTGATACATAATGTTACCCGAGTTTGGGTATAGTAAGCATGTGAATTTTTTCAGCCTATTTGTCTATGTCGTCAAAGTTGAGATACGGAACATTTGATTTTTCATTTGCCAATTTACAATCTCTGAATCTTTACAAGAATGAGGACATTTAATTTCAATTAACTTTGGTTTATTGTTGTGATAATACCATCTGGTGATGCACACAGCCATGGTTGTCACGGATGGAGATATAAACCAACATTTGTGATGCGCTCTCCTAATATGTTTCCATATAGCATCATGAGGAAGCGTGGTTTATTTATTTTATTCATGTAACATTTCAAATGTATTTACATGAATCTATATTAATTTATATTTTTATGAAAACATAAACATGTATTTAATGTTTATTCTTAGTACCAGTATGCGAAAAGACTTACATATAATGGATTTGTGTGAATTTGTATGCATTTAAATTATTGTAGTATTTTAGTTGTTGAACTTTGCTAGAAATGTAAAGAGCAAAAAGTAACACAATAAAAGTTTTGTTATTTGTCAACAGATGTTTTGATTGATAAGTTATATTTGATTATCAATACCTGGGATTTTTACCTTGTCTTTTCTCAAATTAAAATTAAACCCAGTCTGAAAGTATGCAAGTCTGCTTCTTTTCTGCATCTAATAAGACTTACTGACAACACCACCCCACAAGGAGAATCTAAAATCCTGTGCTACGGTATCACTCTGCCCTTTATTGTGCACAATTTCTTGCACAAATTCTGTGACAATGAAAACATGTTTTGATTTAAAGAGCAACTTTCCCTTCCGCAATTCCTCCGCTTTGCTGTTAACATATTTGTTTCTCAAAATCCGCAATGTGTTTCTCGCTCATAATTATTCAAGTTCTGTCTCATTAATTCAATCGTCAAAGGTTTGTAGCTCCTTCCTCCTAAACTAATATTCAAGAGCCTGGTTTCCACCTCGCTGTTACCAGGAGCCCTTATGTGCAAAAAAACGTTTGGGAACAGTCTCTTTGTATTTCCTGGTATACCGTGCAATAAATCAGTGATGAAATGCCTTCATTAACCAGCGAAACATAGTGAGTACCGCAAGCGGAGTCACGGCTGCTAGGATAAGTGTGCCCTCTCTTGGTCAAGCTTGAGGCTCATATCTCGTGAAGTACAGGTCTGATTGGGTTCAAACCTTGTAGATATCTTGAAAGGGGAATACTTGAAAGGAATATTTGCCTGATAAGATGATGACGTTGTCATGTGACATTAACCACTTGCTGCTGGGGTTGCCGGAATCGGATTCCTTGGGTTTATACGCAAAGCCAGGCCACCCGAAATCGGACAAAAGAGCTGAGCCTTGTAACAAAAGACCGTACTCAGAACAAAAGAACAAGCTACTGGGAAGTGCCAGGATTTTTTCATTTGTCAACAGTGGAGGACATCCGTCATTGTTTTAAATGATTGTACCACTGTTTTTGGCATTCAGCGTGAGTGGATTACCACTTGGGACCATAGAGCTCCAGCGCTCTAGGGATGAGTGATACAATACTGCTGCACGCTAATTTGGTCCGCATTTGAAAAGACGCCAGCAGCGCACTAGGCCAGTTTCAGGAACAAAAGAAAATTTTTTAACACCCCACAATCTGAGCTGTCTTTACAAGGCGGCAGGCCTGGCTGAAATAATCAGGCATCAATAGATGTCTGTCGGTCGGATTAGAGAAGGGAAGTAAGGGAAGTGCTATAGACAAAAATTGACCTGATGTGATGGTGACGTCATCCAGAGGCAAGTCACATTGCACTCTTTAGAGCCCTATACATGTATCTCCCGAAGTACATGTACCATCAGGTTGAACATTTGCATATAACTAGAAAGGGCAGTGTAATAGACGACAATTGACCTAATGTCAGTTTCCCTACATACATGTGCATGTAGCTTCTTTAAAAAAAATATATTCAAAAAGCCGGTTTTTTTTTTCAGTTTTGCTGGGTTTTCCCCCGACATTTCTCTACTTGTGAATGGTGAGGAATATAATGAACACTGTAATGAGAAAGTATCATACAAGACGGAAACCGTATGGATCAAAATGGAAAGTTTTTGTTTGTGCCTTTTCGTCAGGCAATTTGCCGTGATTGTATGTGTTCATGCAAAACAGTAGATTAACTCGTACCCAAACGCACTCGTATCCAGGTATGTGTACGTGTGCACCATGCTCAAAATCTGGACATCTCATTTTTGACTCAATGCGGAAATTTGAATCCGAATGAAACATGAACCGCATTTCAGACAAATGGCTGTCGATCTTGAAAAAAATGAGCTGACAGATACAAACATATATCAGTTTTCCAGCTAGTATCACCGATGATCTGAGGGGACTTTGACAAAAGTGTGACAATTGGGCACTAAATAAGGTGAAAAACACGGAAAATGTCTGTTGCGCAGTTTGTTGGAATCATCTGAATATTGGTAGATATGATGATATTTACCCGTTCAACATGTGTGAAGTTGAACGCCAAGCATGTGGCGCTGAGAGCAGATTGCATTGTATGGAATGCCAAATGGGATATTCTGAAAAATGACTGAAAATGACTTTTGAATAGATGTCTGTTGCGAAGTTTGTTGGAATCACCTGAATATTGCTAGATATGATGATATTTACCCATTCAACATGTGTGAAGTTGAACGCCAAGCATGTGGCGCTGCGAACAGATTGCATTGTATGGAATGCCAAATGGGATAAATGTTTAAAATCTAAAAATCTCTAAATCTGCACTCTTTCTGCGATAAAAATAATGTTTTGTATTGTACATATCTCATTGGGTTAATACCTTGCAGATAGTTAGGAAGTGTAATGTACATGTATGCATACAATAATACAGTTGTCGTGCCAATATGTTAATGACTCTAAGTTAGCATGTGCAGTGCATGTATGGAATAAACCACTCTGGAAAGTTCCCTGACAACTACATGTACGTGTCAACCCTGTGTGAGTTACTGCCCAGAACGTTAAAATTGGCGACGAGGCCGGGATTTCTGAGCGAAATTTTTCGTGTTGGGATCACCACAAAGTTGTATAGCCTTCGTACAGTCAAGTTTTAGATGGATTCGCTGCACCAAAACAGTTATTTGTGGACTTTTCTGGAGCGAACTTTCGTTGGCCATCAGCTGGCTATGCATAGTGAACATGTGCGTGCACACAAGTACAGTATATTACACGTACACACTGCACACGTGAAGGCAGCTCACGCATCCAAGCAATTGTACTGCACAAGTCAAGGGTCACAAAAAAAACAACGGCACAAGATGGCGGTGCCCATGTCAATGGGCTACATCGGAAGTCTTGGTCCTTACAACAAAAGTAAGGAGCCGTTCAGCTCGTATATGGAGAGAGCAGACATGTTTTTCAAGGCCAACAATATAATGGAGACTAGCAGTGAGGGAGAGGCTGTGACCACTACATATGAGGCCATTCGTGAGTGCATGAAAGCGATTCTGCTCACGTGAATCGGACCGGAAGTGTACGAGACAGTATTGAACCTCCTCGCACCTAAGATGTCAAAAGAGGTGGCTTACAAGGATATTATGAAGAAGTTGGAACAACACTTCAATCCAAAGCCTCTGGAAATTGCTGAAAGCTACAAATTCGGCACCGGAAACCAGAAGCAACATGAGACAATCAGTGAGTACATTGTCGCCTTGAAAAACTTGACATTGCATTGTAATTTTGGAACATTTCTGGATTGTGCATTACGAGACAGATTAGTTTGTGGCCTTGTGGATGAGCGAATCCAGTCCAAGCTTTTGAACACTGCAGACCTTACATTTGAGAAAGCATGTAAGATTGCCACCACAATGGAAATGGCAACAAAGAATGCTCGTGAGCTTTGTCTGCCACAGCCAGCAGCAGCTGTTCATAACCACAAAGCAGTGCCAGCAGCTAAAGCAAAAGCTGCAAAACCCAAGCCGAAGCACGGAGAGTCGAGTTCGGCCAGTTGCTACCATTGCAACGGTAATCACTTACCTCAGTCCTGCACGTTCAAAACTGCCAAATATGCTACCATTGCCAGAAGAAAGGCTAACCAAGGCAGGGATTTTCAAACAGAGATATTGGTGAACGAACAGTTGATTGATATGCAAATCGACACGGCTGTGGACAGCTCAGTAATGAGCAAAGACTTGTACGAAAACAAGTTTCCTCACGCACCGCTCAACAAGAGTAAGGTTAAGCTGAAAACCTACTCTGGCAAAATTTTGGAGACTCGCGGACAAATGGACTGCAAAGTTAAACATAATGGTCAATCATTCACACTGCCCA